TCCGATGTCCCGTTCACCCGCAATTCGCGTTTGAAGATTTAACTCCACCATCAGTAAGATCGTGTTGGGGGCTACCACATTCCCTCTGACGGTACCCACTTCCGACGTCCCCGTTCACCCGCAATTCGCGTTTGAAGATGTGACTCCACCATCAGTAAGATCATGTCGGGGGCTTCCACATTCCCTTTGACGGTACCCACTTCCGACGTCCCGTTCACCCGCAATTGGCGTTTGAAGATTTTTTTCCACCATCAGTTAGATCTTGTCGGAGGCTACCACATTTCCTTTTTAGGTGCATACTTATATTACACCCACATTTTGGTGGATCTCGCTAAAAACCTTCCACAAGATAGTACTTAATTTTTGGGGGGCACTTCCCATTGCTCGAGCTTCTATTGGCGACACGAGAAAGAGAGACAGCCATTCGAGATTTATGAAACGTTAAAACGCGTGACAGAATTCGCAACGGAAAGTAAAAGGTGCCCGAAGTTGACTACCTCTCGAAGACGCGCGCGTGCGCCTTGCAAAAGGTCGTTAATTTCGCCCCTAGGACAAAAAACAAAAATCCGCCACGCAAGAGTTGTGCACGTTTACAACATCTTTCCGACGACACCAATTTGAAAAGAATCGGACCAAAACTGTAGTAGAAGATAGGAAAAAACTGAAAAACCTTCACGTTAGTATACTACGCTCGAAGGACGACGCCCAGATGTCGCCAACCCCACATCATGTAGCCCTGTCCCCAAGGTTTACAAATTACACGGCCTTGTAGATACTACGTATGTAACAATCCCGTTGCCTTTCTACAAGAGTTCTTCTACGCGCCCACATTTGCTGCCAGCCAGCCGACCAGCCAGCCGGCCAGCAAGCCAGCCAGCCAGCCAGCCAAAGTGAGATTAAAAGCTACTTTTTACAAATAAATTTGCAAAAATGCGCTAAAAAGAAGATTCTGGGTGCACAAAATATTAAATCCTTTAATACCAAAACCTAACTTTCCTTTTTTGATTACGATATTTAAAAACGTTCTACTCATTCGTGAAAGACATTGCATGCTTAATAAAATTGTAGGTGATGTTCTACTTGTTCGCCATCTATCGGCAACCTTCCCGCCAAATGCCCCTCTTAAAATAAATACGGAAACAGATTCCCGCGGGAGTGGAGAGGCGACCGGGGAACATTCACACGTACCAACACGCGTCGGTCACATCTGAGGGTTTTGAATCGTCACACGTGAGGTGGCGTGGCGTGGCGTGGGGTGGCATAGCGTGTGTCAAGTGTGTACGCGGTACATGTAAATAAATGGATGAATATACGCATACATTTTCGTCACATGGCGTGGCGTGGCGTAGCGTGGCGTGGCGTGTTGCCAATATTGTAATACTGAGGATCCTTCGATATTTCGTTGTATCGGTTTATTATATTAAATAAACTAAACAAATATAGAAAATGAGCCCCTGGGTATGGCTATAGCATGTGCAAAACCAAATTTTAAACCTGATGTTAGTTTTGCTTTTATTTAAAGTGTATATGTATGAAATTTCATTTAATTGCGTTTTATATGGCTAAAGCTATACGCATATTGAATTTCATGCAATTCGGTTCGTAACTCACGGAGATGTCAAAAGGGCCTTCCTTGTTTTTTGGGCTACATTGCCAATTCACGAACTCCGATCTAAAAATTTTATAAAGAATCCATCTACAAAATTTCATCGTAATCGGTCCATTCGTTATCGAGATATCGTGCTAATAGACGGACAGACGGATAGACACCGCAAAATTATAAACTCGCTAGGAGCTCGTTAATAAATATGAGCTGAGCGCAGATCTCTGATGTAATCCAACTCCCACAGGAAACATATCAGTCATTCCAACACTTGATCTTCTTCTGCTTCATTATACATGTCCTTCATCAGCCGCATATACTTTTCTGACATTCCCTTACCCCCATTCACCTCCACATTTCATCCCTAGGCACCGTGTTGTTGGCTTTCTCCAGATCTACAAGGAATAGGTGTAGTTTTTTTCCATTCTCAAGTAAGACTAAAATTGTCAAATTCTAAATCAGTCACCAACTGCAATCATGTAATTTATTCATTAGTTATGAATTTATTGCGCTTGGTCTCTACCAAAATCATAATATCACTCAACGAATAATTCAATGACGAGTTCAATGATATAGTACAAATATTATGCCAAAATATTTATCTGTTGTTTATGCAACACACATACCATAGTGACCGCGAAAAATGGGTGGCTCGAAAATGGTCTGGTTATACTCTATGGTCTGGTCAAGGTGGATTTCCACCTTGCGTCTGGTCTTGAATTTAATGTAGCCCCGTGGTATAAAAATTCGTTTCCATTGCAATACCCGACTACCTTCACGAGGGCACCCAGTAGGTTTTAAAATTCCGAATTTAATGTACCTACCAACAATAATTTGCATTGTAATCTCAGAAAATAATGAATGTATGAGCAAAATGAAAAATAGAATAACAATTATTGAATCAAGTTCCCTTTAATGGCATATATTTAAAGGAAGATTGTATACAGTTTTTTTGGACTCAATTCTATATATTGTGGAGGTTTTTAACTATCAAACACTTTCAGAAGCTGGAAGTTGGGGTCCAGCAAGGGTTTTCACGTGAAATATATCCTCGCTATTGTCTTTTGTGCTTTACTTTATATCATTTCGTAAAATAGCGACTTAGAAGAGGATCTACTTTGTAAATTCCAGTATGAGCATTGGTACACTGATATACAGGGTATCCCAACAAAAATTTGCACCCTTCCGTTTCCGGGAAATTAACAAAAAAAGTACTGGGTCAAGACTCATATCGCTTTAGTTGACCAAAGATAAAATTACTGCTTAATCATCAAATTTTCACTCTCATTATTGAAAATGATCTTGTTTGTCTTTCTCATACTCGAATTCTTTGAACTCTTTCCAGCACTCTCACTAATATGGTCATGATGTTTCGGAACCGGACCTTTCTACAACGGCAGAGGTACCTAAAGTGAAAACATCATTGAAATCTGAATAAGGTCATCTTTCGGAGATTTATTTGCAATCGTTCCCGTTCGCTCGTAAAGCTGGTGATTTTCATTAAGGAAACCACCAGAGATATTTTGAATAAAAAAATAAATAAAATTCATTGAAAGATCCATTAATCGTTTGGAGATTTATTCAAAATATCTCTGGTGCCCTTGTGAAGTTAAACGCGATTTTTAGGAATCGAATTCCTCAAAAACTCTGTAATTGAGCGCAAGCCTGTTGAGGACCCAGAACAAGAAAGGGACAATAAATAAAAAATAAAGTAAATGAAAACGAATTTGACATTTTCAGATACCTCAGTTATCTTCAAAGATTTTTCAAAAATTGCAAATGCGTTTTTTTAGTCACAAAATGAACTATGCACTCAATTAAGATTGTATCCCTAACCGTGATGGCGATCCCAATGGTGGGTCACGAATTAGAACCACCCTGTAAATCATAATGATTTAGTGTAGTGGTTCTTGAAATGGTACACAATGCAATACCTTAAAGTACGCTCTGCTACGTTTAAAAAAACCATCACTCACGCCGACATTCTTTCTGCTGTAAGGTGTGCGGCCTAACCGCCTGGTATGTCATCACACATCACATTTTAAATTGCACACCTGCACTAAACCTTTGAATATATATTCAAAGACTAAACCGAAGGCCCCTGTCGGTATTGCAACTGGCCATTCACGAACACACGCTTATTATTTGACTTTATATGAGGAACACCAAACCTTTGAATTCGAATATAACGACGGTCGCGACCACGATCACCGAAGTTTTATTGCACAAAATACAGTGTCATAAATCTATTTTACAAAATTGCAGAAAATATCGTATATCGTAAGGACTAAAGTCACCTTTAGTAAGGACTATCTTCAAAAATGTTATTTATCCATGGTCAAATACTTATTTATATATACTATTTACAATTTTCCAACACGTACCTACCTACTTTTAGAAATCTTGAGCACCAAGACACAGACTCTTCAATTTGAAATGGGTTTTTGCATCTATCACCACATTTGCAATAGGAACAACAAGAAGAGCTATTTGTTAAGCAGTTACATGTAGTTTGGAACACTTTTTGTACGCACGCCCTTATTTTGAACCCAAAAATTATATGAAACTTTTTGTACAGCTCATTAAGACATATCTTTTTTTGTATTTACCATTGTACGAGTATGCTATGGTGCTTACTTTCTGAGAAAAGTGCAAATTAAAAAAATTATAAAATAAATAGTTGACCTTTCAGTTTAAAGTTTCTCAAAAACTACGAAACACAAAAAAAACTGTAATGAACTTTTTTGTAGAGTTTTTTATGGCATATTAGCTAGTGTATGCGAAAAAAAATTTTTTACAAACCGTTATGACCTTTTGAATCTTTTCGCACCCTCAAAAACCTTGAAGTTGGTAACGGACCGAAACTAAAATAGGACGTTAGCGATTTCCCATGCAAACCCATAGACATTCGAAATTTGATCAAAATCAGTTCAGTCGTTTTTGAGTTATCGTGTTCACAAAAAAAGAACCACATGGTGAAAAAATCGTATGGAATAGTGATTTTTTCTACTACTACCTTAGAATGACGTCATACTTGCTTCATTTTGAACAACAGAATATCGCCTATTCTCTGCTAGTAAAGTGGAATAATTTCATTCTAGCTCTTGTGATGGAATGAGCACATGTGGCGACATCTAATACAGGACATCCTAAAGCACAATTCTTAAACTGTCAAAATTTTAATTACGCTTGCGCCAGATTTTGAATTTTAAGGGCCGGTAGCACGAAAATGAATAGCAGTGGCCAGTGAGGATTTAATGGAACTTTCAAATACTCCCCCCGGAAATCACCGCGGAAGCAGAACACGCAAAAAAATTTACTTCCTGACAAACCAAAAGTGTAGGAACATACATATAGCAAATTTTTGGAGTGGAGGATCAAGAAAAAAACCAACTCATTTTCAGAGAACCTAGTGCTAATTTACTTTAGCGAACTATCACAGGAAGTTAAAGCATTCACATTGTGGAAAACGTATTCCATGGTGCGGTCTACGATACTTTTGAACAATTAATGTAGATATAAGCAGCTATGCATGCTAAGTTGCAGGCCTTAAAAACGCATTCCAGCGGCTCAAAAAGTCAAAAATTCTATCAACGAGCAAAGTAAAAATGTTTATTCAAAAAGCCCCCTCGACAGTTTATATTTACTATAACATTACACATTCAAATCGTTACTCGTTACATCATATCTATTTTACATTTAAAGGATGCTCTTATAGTTGGCATTAGTGGTGCTTGTCGTAAGCACGAATCGTGTTCGTGGAACATAAAAATCGACCACATACAAGGCTTAGGTGGAACTGTAATTAGAATACCCAATACGAAAACTAACGTACAACGAAAGTTTACAATTACGGGGGACCCACGTTGGTATACCTACAACCAAACATCAAGTTGCATATTGCTACAATGAATTAATATACCTCACTGCACTATACAAAAAGAACATCCAGATCCAAACAGTTAACATTGTTGGTCATCGAGAACACATTTCCTCCAGGAAGTTTTAAAACTAACCTAAAATATAATGCTCACTAAAATGTTACCTACACTCGTAGATATACTTACATACAAATTTTTCGAGTTTATTTCTGATTTGCGTCCATAACGTCCTCTTTGTAGCATTTTGTATTTGAATGCACATCATGAATTACATACCGGTCGCACACATCGAATACGTTTATCTAAATCTAAATGATCCACGCCGATTCATACACTGCGCAGGACAGGACACATTCAACAAATGTGCACATTTGTAATTAATATCACAGAAAAGTTAGTATCCCTTCCCTGGGATAATATTCAGCGAAGAGAAATTGTCGAGAAAATTGTTTATACAGCCATTTAGAATCTGTCAAATATGCCACAGGGATCTGCTATACCAACCCACCGTACATAGACGTACCTACTAATGTGTGAATTGTCTATCGTTAACCCTGCTTGTTTTATACATATTTTGCAAAAATTCGTCGTAGTAGTAGAAAAAATTATGTCTATTACTTGTAAGGAATAGGTATTCAACGCTCGTGGAACCGTCACACTCGCCTTCGGCTCGTGTGACGAACTTTCCACTCGCGCGGAATACACTCTATTCCATACTCGTTATAGAATATACTATTCTAGCTTACGACGACGGTGGGAGAATAAAACACAATACAGTACAACTAATGGAATTGTGTATAGCCAATACGAACATTCAGAAGACAGGTAAATTGTGTGTGTTGTAACATGTCGAGTAGAGGTATTTTACTTGTGGCTTTGATTATATACTTTATCAATGCTTTTGGGTTACATTAAATCAGTCAAAAAATATCCGCATATATAAACCATACGTGGCTTTCTCATATCGCTAGCGAAAAAAAGTAGGCATTTATTATTGTTAAAAAGCAAGACTAGAGAATTGGCCCGCGACTAAAGGCAAGATACAAGGTTCAACAAAGAAAAGGTACGCAAGATCATCAGGGCCATATTATTAAGTCTATTGGTTTTATTATTATGATTTTATAACTTGTGTTAAAAAGACATTGCAAAGAATGCCGAAGCAAAAAATGTAATGTTTGGGAAGTATTCCGCAGGTTGTAAGGGATAAGGGATACAAATAGAGCAGTTTTTAATTATTGTCATTTTCGCCTAAAATTAATAGTTTTGCAACACATTTCCAAGTACCACTTTCCACTCCTTTCAACCCTCGGGATTTCGCCCACGGAAAATTCCATCGTTATTATTTTTCTCCCCGATTTCGGATCATTTTACCTTCATAAAAATCCCTGTTTAGATCGAGAACTAATTTTTTTGTCAAAAAATGTTATACAAGGTTACCCGACATTCGCCGCAGCATACGAAAACGCCGTTAGCTGCGTGCAAATATGAATTACAATACGGCGTACACTTATATAGGAATGCAGGTTTCGACGCAGCATTGGTCAACGAGTTAGCGATGGTACTAGGATTCGTCACTGCTTGTCATTACTCATTGGATAATTCCTGTCACAATTTTGACGCTCCTGCTTTGGAAGATGCCATCCGTGAATGTTCTGCGGGTATCACTCATACCCATCTCATGTCTGTGACTGCAGAATTTGAAAACCGATTGCATTACACGATTGCTACTGGCGGGGGCTTATTTGAACACTTAGGTACTATAACGGCACACGGCAGATGCGACGCAATTTCTTTTCTTAGACTGCTCTGTTCTTTTTTTTGTGTTACCGAAGGCTGTTTCTTTTTTAATGTAACCGAAGGATGCGTATGTTTTTCTTTCGTTATGTTTCCTTGTGCTCTTCCTGCATGATCACTTCCCTTTTCCATGGAATTTCATACGTGTCGGCCGATGCTGCGTCGAAACCTGCATTACTATATAAGTGTACGCCCTATTGTAATTCATATTTGCACGCAGCTAACGGCATTTTCGTATGCTGCGGCGAATGTCGGGTAACCCTGTATAGCCTGGACTATATGAAAATTTTTGTGGCACAAACTGAGGCACAAACTCTGTGGAACAGTTAGCTGTAGAGAGGCATCCTGTTGTTCCCAAAATCATGTAGGAGATTATGTAGATGGCAAATATCTTATTTGCAAATCATGTGTGTTTAATGTATTTGGCAGCAATGGAAATTGGATGACTAAAATTGAAATTTCACCAAAATGTGGCGACAAAGCAAACACGAAAAAATTATCGGGCATGTTGCTAAGAGAAAAAGAAAATTATCATCGTGCACGTGTGAGATCGATGGGACTTCGGCGCATTTGTGTGTGTCAGATCAGAATTCTATTAGCCAGGTTTGCCTCTACCATCAACATCATCTTGTTGAAGGCTACCACATTCACTTTGCCGGTACCCAGTTCCGACGTCCCGTTCAGCCGCAATTCGCATTTTGGTGGATTTTCGCTAAAAATCGAAAAGTCGACTACCCCTCGAAAACAGGCACTTTGCAATTTCGCCCCTAGGAAAAAAAACAAAATTCCGTCAAGCAGGAGTTGTGCGTGTTTAAAAAGATGTTTCCGACGACACCAACTTTGAAAACAATCAGATCAAAAACTGTAGTAGAAAAAAACTGAAAAAATGTCCAGGTTAGTACTATGCGATCAAAAATGAGTTGCTGTCGAGTCAGCTAAATTTCGACACATTTGAATGGAACCGTTTTACCATAATAGATTTTTGGTAGACGAAGATCAATCATGATAATCACATAGGAGAGGATGGCTATGGGTGCGACGAACTTTGGCTGCTCGTGCATAGCCGGTGCAGGAGGAATTAAAACCCAATTAGTAGAGTTATTGTTCGATTGTAATTTAATTAAAGATATTAATACAAAGTGTATTGTAATTCCTCAAGCGGTAGTCGGCGGAAAAAAACGACAAAACGGCGGTACAGGGAACGGACGGACGGACGGACTCGGGCGCCACCACACGATAATCTCGCGCCTGGCCGATGTAGGCGGTAATTACGGACGGACGGGTCGATTTCGGTAGCCTCGGAAGTAGTCTTAATCGGAGATGATAATTCCAGGTATTCGGCGGTCAGGTCCAGTAAATGGGGACGGTAATGTCTGGAACGCTAAAACAAAATATGGCCTACCGGCAAATTCCCTAGTGAAAGACAAGATAGTAATTAGGCACATTCGGGAAAACGGAGAAAAACAATTCCCCCTATACAAACACCAAAACCGCTTACTTTCGGAAATTTATATTGCGGTCGGCAAAAATATCAAACTTACGTCCGGCACGTAGAACGCAAAATATGAAAGATGAGAAAAAGATCTCGTACGGTACGGAAACCAATCAATTCTATTTTTAATCAATTACTCGGCTCCTGTTCGTCCTAAAATTCCCAAACGTCCAGAATCGATTCCTTAATTAAGCGCGCAAAATTTGATACCACAATCGGCTCAATCGGCGCTCTTCTACTGTAATTCATATAATTAGTGCATGCTAATTATACATACTCAAAAGACACAACGGAAGCTCATGAACTCATTACATTAATTAACTGTATGTTAATTGCAAGTTTTCGGACTTAGAGCAAGTGGCGGTTACCTAATTTTTGCAAGCATGACGCTAACTGATAGCGGGCAAAACAACTCGCTTCGAAACTTGTTCTATTCTTGCTTTTACTTATTATGGGGAACTAAAACAGCTTATAAAAAATTAACGGCGCTGAAACCAAAAACTATTAATTGTCCTTCATCTTCTCCAGAACAAGACCCTTCAGTGGTTACAAAAATAATTCCAAAATTCCAACATAAACGGATGTAGGCGACCTAATTAATTACGGTATCTCCTTCTCTCCATGGCATCGCGGAAACTTCTCATAATTACGGTTTTCTTCGTAACGAAGCCCAAAACAATCGTTACTATACAGGGTGGTCCTCGTAAACGGCAAACTCCACTCAGAAATACCGGGTACTTCGTTACAAGGGGACGGCAAGGTCCTCCAAATGGAACTGCGCGTTGGCGTTCTGTCGTTAGGCACACGGATAACGTTATAGAGCAATATAGTACAACCATTGCGGCGTTATAGAACATGTTTTGGACTTTCGGACCTCATCATCCATACCTATTGGTGTCGACAACTCCAACTCGGGCTACACTAGAGATTGCTGTTGCCATGACAGCACGACCGCAAAGCGCATTGTATGGTCGTCAGACATTTTGTTAATAAAGAAATGTTATTTTTCACCACGACCGGGGGGTTTAACATTCTATGTCGAGAATGTTTTGACCTATTTAAAGCCATTCTTTTATTTCATCGTAACCCCTACATATTACCGACATCAACATTGGATTCACCGCACCTAGCAGTACACAACGAGAGAGACTAATTTTGTGACAAAAGGAGACAATGTTAAGACGTTAAAAAAATCGCAGTGTGCGAGGTTGGAGACCTATACAGTGCGTGAGATACGAAGAATTTGTCAAATATAATTTTATATGTGACATTACGATCTATCCGATCACATATTGAATTCAAACATATGCATATTTTGTTGTCGTGTACTAAATTGATTGCTCTTTTCAAATATCGCAAAAAGCGTAGACATTGAGTTTGAAAAACAAAAGTGGTATCGATTTCCGGTTAAACCGGAAGTGGCCGCGGAAGTTCCAATACGCGATCTGATAGATCATAATGTCCCATATAAAATTATATTTGACAAATTTTTCGTATCTCGCCAAATAAATAGATATTTGTAGATACTTTTATAAATTTGACTTGCGACTCCTGAGTTTTCAATACACTAAACCTAAAACATTGAATAAAATTAAATCAATGGCACTTAAATTTAAGTGTATAGTTCAATAATCTGCTCGTAAAAACCCGTTCGAATATGGCGTTAAATTTGATTTCTCAAATAATGTTATAAAAGGCAGCTATAATGTAATATAACTCAGGCGTAAAGCTTTATTTACGTTTACGCTTTCCACAGGTGATGTTATAAACGGTTCACGGGATGAAACTAACTTGAAATTACTTCGGAAAACACTAAATGATCTCGAGAGTGTATTAATTTTCGAAAACGTAATTAAATAGAGTAACAATGGGTACCTACAACTAAAATACCCGATCTCAAATGTAAAGCCCCGGGTTGTATCTGTATCAAAAACTGTACCTCTGAACTTAACATTCAGAGTGCGACGTAACATCTCGTCTTTACGTCACACATCCCCTGGTACCAGTTCTAAGGAGCGCAAAGTTTTCAAATGCGGAATCGCGTAACTTGTAATAAACCAGCGGGATACACGCACGCTCTTCTCGTAACATTCGCGATAACAATGTTACACTTTTATTATTTTGGGGAAGTAATATCCTTTGTATCTCCAATTGTCAACAGAATTGACGTGATAAGGTCTCCTTCAAGTTCGTTTTGTTTTGATACAATAATATAGGCTGGTGTACATTTCTTTCAATTTTATTATAACAGTGAGTTTTTATTAAAGAATAAATATCCCCAGGAGCTCTTTGCAAAAGTTGTATTGGAAGTACAAATGAAGGTTCGGTTAGAAACTAAACCAACAAAGCGATCCTTTGTGAATTTTTATACACTTCTATACCACAGTTGCGTTCCTTTACTTTTTCATTCAGGTGCGTATATAGTGTCGTTAGCGGT